TAGTTGATAAGCAGGGTGGCAAAAGTTAGATATGGTGTTATTTTGGTTTTTAACCCGATAAAAAGGGTGAACCTGCAGCCCCAGATGCAGTTGCTGCAACATGGCTTGAGTGTCTCTCACTCCCACTGATTTATATAAGGAGTTTAAAGATCATCAGGTGTACTTGGTAACTGATGTAACACATAGTCATGTAACTTCATGGTTATTAAGTTTAGTGTTTCTGTTTAAAGTCATGTTCAGTCTGCATGCAACTTCATGCATATCCTTCTCCCCAGTGACGAAAACACGCACAGAACAAACACCAATATAAACCAAATGTAAACGTCAGAGTGTCATTGATGAAGTTTTGTAACGGTATTCTATGCATTCAGTGGAGTTTAACTGATCTATATGTATTTCACCAATATTATTTTCTATTCCTGTTGGTGTAGTTCATAAATAGGCTTATTTCAGAGCAAAATAATATTTAAATAAGAATGTTTTGCAGGATTCATTTGGTATCAATGCTGGTACTAAGTTTTGTTGTGTGTTTTTATAGGATTTTAAAATTTAAATGGTCAGTCCTGCTACAGCATATGATATCACATGCCATTTTAACACAATAGATATATTAGTACCCAAGTCCAATACGACACGGAATCGCATTCATATTTGCATGATATTCAGCCAGAGAGAAAAACAGTACGTGAACTACAATGCACTGTGGTCTTAATGAAAAATACTACTTGCATGCAGAAACGGCTGTCCAAGTGATATCCAATTTGTGAACGATTCTTTTCAGTGAATGAAACGTACTGTTTTGTACATTCACGCATTGCTCAAGTTGTCTCAGATTCTAAAAATCTCCAAATATATGGCAAATCATGAATCACAGAGCAACTAGGGGTGTAATGAAAATTCGTGGCACGAAATTTCACAATTCAGTTATGGTTTGATACGCATCGCAGTGGTCAAGCCGTGTTGCACTACGTCGCAAAATGTGACTTATTGAGTGTTTGTGCTTTAATTGTCAATGACAGCTGTCATGCCAGATCTCTTCCTCCGTCCGAATTCCTTCCGCCTGTGACCTATCGCTCAGCTGTTAGGCCAGTGATGCAATCGTGATGATCCAATTTCAAGGTACCCCATATGTTTCAAAGTACCCCATAGGTTTCAAGTGACCCTGTAAAGCTTCCAGTTCACATTTAGCGGTGCAGCATGAGTTCTCAACAATAAAATACGATTAAAAATGCAGCAGATGTCTTTTCATTAATTATTATTAAGAGATCGTTTGCATTTAGCTTTATGGTACAACTAGTGATTGGTTCAGAGAGAGAACCAGTCAGATTGTAGAGGAGGTGGGTCTAAGACATCTGATTGAAATTACATTTGTTAGAACTTTCGTGAAGTGCACCGAACCGTGAGCTGTGTATCGAATAGTAAGCCGAGTGCATCGCTACACCCCTAGGTGCAGCCTTTTTAAAATTCACTTACATTTGCTTTTCGTAGACTCTCTGAAGCCATGTTCCCTTCAGTACCCCCCTGCACACCGTAATCCGATGTATTTGTGCTGTGCGCATGCCCAACAGCTTCGTAGCTATGGCTCACTACTGCCCAACTCTCGGCAGTTGACAAGTTAGCAAGTTACGCGCATTCGGTTGAAGTTACTAGGCAATCCTCTGGAGACTTATAAGACCCATAGGAGATGTTAATGATATAATTCATTAATGTGTAATTAATTCTTATTTGAAATGCATATAATTACATTAGCCACTGGTATTACTGTTTGTTTAATTCATTTTGTTTGGCGTTACTAAGTTATGGAGTTGAACTCCCCTAACCTTATTTTCTTCATTGGTTATGCGTATTTTAGAATGTAACTTTAATGAACGTGAAGTTTTCAGGAACACATTTGTTGTGTAGTAGCAGGACTGACTGCATAAGAGAGAAAGAAGCGTAAGCAACGATATATGGGAAATCCTGTGAACAGTTGCCATTAAAACTCGCTGACTGGCGGCGGCAGGGGGCTGCTGTTTAGCGGTGCTGATCGTATTTTATTATCTGTGGAAAGTAATGGATCGGTGAACCGGATTTAATTACAGTTTAATTACATAGTGGTTCACAAACTTGCAGTATTCCCTAGCCAGATACCACCGTTATGTCCGACATTTACGCATACCGATACCTTCACGTACCATATGAGGAGTTAAAGAAAAAATAATAATGGCAAAGTGATTTTTTTTTTTCGTTTTGGTTTCAACGTTGTCAGAGATTTAGGCTGAACTGAAAGCCAACTATAAAATCATAAATCTTTACTTTGTGTGAATCTCTTACTTTGCGCGAAGCCTAAGCCTGCTTCACCGATAAAAGTGATTATTGCCAGTTGTGGCGCTTTTCCACTGCCATGAAGAATTGAGCTGTAACCGCGCTGACATGGCTCTGCTAGAGTGTGACCAAACCGAGCTGCTTGCGTCCCCACTATCCGATAGGTCGTAATGCACAGAGATACTGCTGTTCTGCGCATCTGAAGTAAAAAAAGTTGTATTCCATACAAGTATTGGTGGAGTCCCGATAACGTGGAACTTGAGAATTTCCATCCTCCTACTTAAAATACTATAGAGCAGCTGAACGGTATGTATTCGTCCTGCAAATTTATGCAAGCCAATGCCTGTTTCGCTAGCATTTGATGCTAACAAAATATCACGATTCTCACGGACGTGCTTGAAAATGAGGAAATTAGCACACAGTAAATGAACTGCATGTGAACTGTAAAGTGTCTTCAGCTTTATGTCAGTGTTGCTCCCCAATTGATGCCAGGTGGACCATTGTGCAGTGGAACGCCGAAGCGAACTGGAGCCGCCCTGTAACAAGTGTCTCTTCGCGGTACGACTCGAGTACAGTTCACATCTTGTATGCCAGTGGAAAAGCAACATTAGTTACTCTCTGGTGTCAACAGCAGGTTACTTGTCTGATATTGTTGATTATCGATAATATTGTGTTATCCACCCTAGTATCTTACAGGCTTATCATTCCGGTTTAAAGCGTGTTTTTGTACTAATGTAGATAGTTTTTAAAAACTTGTTACCCTTAGTGGCAGCCATTGTGTAAACATTTGTCATCAACAGACTCCGACAGATCACCGTGGTATTGCAGCTGATGCGCGGTGTTTTTCATTGTGCTGTAAAGTACCCCATTGACCTACTGTCAATTCTTGTAATGCTTGTTTAATTATTTTAATTCAGTTTAATTATATCCATATCCTGATACATAGCCCCCTCCCCCATTTTATTAAGTACAAACTATATAAGCAGGATAATATAACTTTACCAACAAACGTTAATTAACCTTCTTTCCCATCCCGTCTGCTTTTGTTTTTGCTACAGAGGCTTTCATCTAACCCTTCTTACTGATGGAGGTACTACTGTGCTGCAGGGTATTGTTTAAGCCTGATCCTGGCACCATACTTAGAGGGGGTCTGATTTTTTATTTTTTTTTTTGGAACCAGAAGGTTACTGGTTCAAAATCCATGAGCGGTTATTTTTTTCTTTTGACAGGAATGTGTCTCTGTAGCGTCACAGTGGGCATGAAGGATCAGTGCATACTCGGATGACATGGTAGTCTCCACACATTTCTGTGCATTCATTTTGGTGTTTTTTTTATTTAAAAAAAATATCTTTTTATGACTGTGGTCCCTGCGATGAGAACATCAGTGTCCAGATCCTTCCGGTGCATGTGCTACTGCCTTTGTTAAACTTTCTCTGCTTTTTTTTTTTTTTTTTGGTGGGGTGCGGGGGTTCCAGATGGAAGTGGGGAGATTTCCTTGCGTCGTTCAGGCTGCCTTTGCAACATGAAGGATTGTTCTGGATTTTTGCATTTTTCTCCTCCTTTGTAAAACTGTGTGCATCCCGAGCTTTTTGTCCACATTCCCTCTTTCTGAAATGCATTGTTTTTTGTTTTTTTTTGCAAAGCACTGCTTTGACACCTGGGACCTTCAAAGTTGGAAGCTGTTTGTTGGGGAATTCTGTAGTGGGGCATCCTTACAAGGCTGAGCCCAAATGTCAGCTCTGGAGCACAGCATCCCTGCTCTGCTGACAGTGACGTCCTCGAGTGACTGCTCTCACTGCACATACAATGCACATGCATCTGCCTCGACTCTTGCTGCCTCTATGCATAAGTGTGCATAAGGAGAAGAGGCAAGCTGGTGACCTTCCAAGAATGTGGAGTCCGGCCCATGAAACAAAGTGCTCAGTGTCTGTGTTCCCGCCATGAATATGGATGTCAACAAGCCAGGCTGTGTGTTTGTGTGAGTGTGTGTGTGTGCGCGCCTTGTGTTTTGTTTGGTTACTTATAGTTAAGGGCTGGGTTGGGGTTAAGGTTGTCATTGCTGGGATTAGGGTTTTGCCGATAGAAATGAATGGAGAGTCCCCACAAAGTTATAAATGTAAAAGATTGAGTGTGTATGTTTGTGTATGTGTGGGGGTGGGTGGGGGGGATTCGCATGGCAGACTCATCCCTGTCTCGGGACACTCATTTCCGTCCCCCCAGAGATCTCAGCACATGCCTTCTCTACTGGGAACCAGAAAGGGAGCGTACTGGGGGGGGTGGTAAGGGTTTGAAGTGGGGGGAGGAGGAAGTTCGTCAGTTCCTCTCACACAAGGAGGTCACTCCACCATCAGTGACCACCAGCCTGGCCTCATATGAAGTTCTCTCGGAGTGGCGATCTCCAGATCACACTGACATCCCTTTTCAGATCAAGCGTGTCCTGTTCCAGGCCAAAACAGCCACGTTCCTCTACATATCATTCGAACCTCAATCTCCTGGAATATTGTTTTATTACGAAATTAAGAACTTGGATCCCTACACACAAAGCATAACATAATCCCACGCGGTAGATTTCGAGCTTGCCGAACATTCTTTTGGATCCACGGGGAAGGCACCGCATACCTCCGTGGTGTAACCGCCATTTGAGATTGTGGGCGGGGCTTGTTGCTACGCCCAGACAAGCTTCCTTAATGAGGCGTATGGGAGATCCCTTCCTGTTCGGCTCGGCCCGTCTGGCTCCAGGCCGCGAAGATGCGGACCTGCAGGTGTTCTGCTGTTGGATGGGACTGATTTGGGTGGGGGCGTGGAGAAGAATAGCTTCTTTGTTTCTCCCTGGAAAGGAAGGCTGCCCTGGGTGGGTTTGCACCCTCCAGGTGAGCATGTAGATTCTTCTGGGCTGGGAAGATAAGCGAGGGCTGCAATCAGCTCTATTAGCTTCCTCAAGCTTCTGAGCTGAGTGAGTTAACATGTATTTCATGGTTTGTCTGGGTGAGGCTTCCCTATTCCCTAGTTTTTTGGAGGGGTTTGAGGGCCTTGCTCAAAGTCCCATCTGGGGTTCTCTGCTGAATGCAGGATTCGAATCAACAACCTTCACTGATCAGTGGCACGGAGGACTGACCCACTGCGAGGGTCTCTGAAAAGTGTCGTGATTGTTTCTTTGCTAGACCCATTGCTTGCTTGGGGGGGGGGCGGGTTCTCGTCCCGTGCCAGCATTTGTTGGCCGTGACCTGGCCAGCGACCAGGTCTAGGTGAGGTCAGCCTCTGGCCAGGTGTCGGTGAGACCCCAGGGCCGCCGTCCACCATCTGCGTCCGAAGCACTGCCTTCCAGGAACAGGCCGCAAACAGGCCACCTCCGCGCTCCGGCTAATGCAGCATAATCGCTTAATTCTCTGCGGGCAAAGGTGATAAGGCTGATCTTTCTGATGGTTAATGCTAAATCTCTCATGCTGCTGTGCGTGCTTTTAGCTCTAATTTCCGAAATTCAGTTTCTTGCAGGACTTGCGACAAAACGGAACAATAAAATCGAAATGGTGCTGAGCAGGAATCGTAAAATTTATATTGCTCTTTGTGATTCACTGTTTATAATAACTTTTTGCGCAGGAATTGGTGGATATACAAGAAGGTTATAAATGCATCATATATGCATACCAGAGGCTTGTTTTTTTGTTTGTTCTTGACTGTGAATGAACTTTTAGCATATTTACTTAAAAGCAAATTATAATTAAATCTATGGTCAACAGGATATACATCATAAGGAGGTTTATTGGAATAGCTGGTATTCTGTGATTGGTCCACTGACCACATTCAGTCAGTGCTTTCTGCTGACCTTTGACCCAGGATGTGCTTTGAGTTGAGTTAGTCTTCCTGCTCTTATGTACTAATCCTGCGTTCGATTATTTCTCCCTGAGTCGGAACTCGGATGAAAACGTCATTTCCTGTCGGAAACATGCCTCTTTTATGACGTTGATGTTGGACAAGATTTTGTTGTCCGAGTTTCCCCTGTGACGTAATTTCAACATGGCGGCTTACACAGTCAACAGTAATTCTATTTCATAAATCTTTGAAATTGTACATTTTGTTACATTTATAACTAATAAAACATTTAATTGCACGTGTTCGATTTAGAGAATATTATATCATGACCGTGAACAGTATCCTAGCATGTAATATCAGATTTTTACTGGACTTGTTAGTGTCTTTTGTTTCTTTGTACTTTGTTTGCCTCTCGAAAAAAGAATATTGCTGTGAATGTACTAAAATATTTTATAAAGATTTTAATGTGGTTTGACTAGTTTGCGTTTCTTGATTGTTTGTCTTGGAAAAAATAATCTTCTAAATAATAATCTGCTAAAATATAAAGCAACAACACACAGCAGCGTGTTCATGAAGGCAGCCATGTTTGTTCCGAGATGTGGGTAGCTCGAACGGGAATTTCCGAGTTCTGAGAGATAATCGAACGCAGAATCAGTCCCCCCTGTGTTTGTGTTTTTTTTTTTTTTCCTAGCTTCCAATCAAAGCGGGGCCACAGAACACTCACACCAAAGTCAGCACGGAGCACAACAAGGAATGCCTGATCAACATTTCCAAGTACAAGTTTTCCTTGGTAATCAGCGGCCTCACCAACATACTGAAGAATGTGAACAACATGGTGAGTGGGCCGGTCCTGGCTCTCCTCGGCCCGAGTCGTCCGTATGGTCGGCACGGGCTTCTCGCTTGTGCCCTCGTCTTAGACCCTGGAGGGAGTCTGTCGATTGGCTCGGAAGTACTGTCACCTGTGGTGAGACTCTGCCGCTGCTCTCTGCGTGTCACTTCCTGGCCAGACTCTGAACCGAGTGACCAGGAGGTGAGGTAGGAGCTGGCAGGCTGTAAAGGTCACCTGTGGCTATAATCTGTTGGTTGGGGGGGAGGGGGAGGGTAGAGTTGGGAGTCGGGAGTCGCTATGTCTGCAATCCCAGTTGACTGCTCATATTAGGACAGACCCTGCTGCATAGCTTATGTCCCCTGTTACAGAATGCACCTTTGCACCTTTGAGTAAGAGTCTCTGTATCAGTTATGAGTCTTAGCCGCCCAGGTAGTAGAGTCATGAGTAAGGAATGTTTGAGCTGCAGTCTTACCCCCCGCCCCCATATCAGGGCATGTGGTCCTGGTTGGTATGTGCCATTGATCTTCTCCAGACTCCTCTCTCCTGTGTCTGTCCCCTTCTACAGCGGATATTTGGGGAGAATGCAGAGAAGAACCTCTACCTCTCTCAGCTCATCATCCTGGACACACTGGAGAAGTGCCTGGCTGGGGTGAGGAGACCAACTCCCTGCCCGTGTTTGTGTGTGTGTCCGTAAGCGTGTACGTGTGCATGCTTTGTCCCTGAGTCTACCACATGGCAATCCCATCATGCCTCCCTCGCCATCGTCGCATATCTGCATTCTTATTGGATGGAAGCAATCATGTGACCAGTGACTGCACTGCAGCTGGATAGCTGTGGCCCGTGACGGAATCTGCCTTGGGGCCGTTCAGTGTTTGGCCAGGGAGCGAATTTGGACCTGGAGGAGACTCGGGGGGGCGGGGGGGTTGTTCAGATGCATCTCTGTTAATGTGCTCAACCCCTCCCCTCCACTTGTCATCCTCCCTTCTCTCTCTCTCTCGTGCTGCACTAGATGACTTTTGCAGGTGTTTTTGTGCCTCGAGTTTTAGCGCTTGCACAGCCTCCGATGGGATCGCTGGGAGTTTCCTGCGTAGGCTTCGCATTAATGGGTGCGTTGAGATGGAAGCCAGCTCAGCTGCGCGACTCCGGCCCTCCTGCCTGCGTGCGGTGCCCCCCGAATGCCGGGCCTTCATGCGCCGCTGCATGGTCGCCGAACCCCATGCCATCGGCAGGGAAAACTCCTATGTAAAAAAAAAAAAAAGCTGAACGCCGATTCCTGGTGTTCTCCGACATGGTGATGGAATAGGAAGCCCCTCCCCCCGCCTTTGCCGACGTGGCCCACAAGCCACAGAGAGAGAACCTGATATAGCGCCTTAATTCGGGAGCAGAAAGGCTGCTTTCGAAAAATGATCTGTGGCGTCTGCTGCTCCCCCCCCACCCCCCCCACTCTGCGCCAATGGTAAGGTGACGTTTCAGCTGAGATTTGAGATCTGTCGTGAGCGAGACGTTTTCTCGTGGCAGCCGTAGGCCGGTGCTCACGAAGCCTGGGTGGGGAAGCGGAGGGGGGTTTGTCGGCCTGCAGTCAGCTCGCCAGCCCCGCCTTCTTGCCTCGGTGCTGACTGCCTTTTGTTGCACGTGTTCTGGCATGTTCCACATCTTTGTGATGTTCGCTGTACATCAACCGTGTGATTCAGCCAGGCCCCAGCCCCCAGTCAGCGTTCGAAAAATGGGTTGGATTTTTGCTCCAGGCTTGGCGATTTATTCTGTGGAGATGGTTTGCAATGGTCTCCACTGGACCGCCGGCGTAGAGCCTGCGGTGGGCGGGTATACTGCAGCTCCTGAGCTCGTATCGATTCGTTAATAGGCCTGTTTGCGAGGTTTCGAGTGTGCCGCTCTTTCATGCTGGAACCCGGGGCTGGCCTGTCCATTGTAGACCGTCCGCTCGATTCCATAACCAGCTGTTAAAAATGCCACCAAAACAGGATGATCAGTCCGTTATGCCTGGTTCCGCCCTAAAAAAAATTTCACTTAGATTTTTGTTCTGTTCTTGCCCCTCAGATTAGGGGTTGAGCCTCATGGATCTGACCTAGCTGTTCTTATTTGTGACTGGGGCCTTGGTGCCGATGCAGTTTGGCCAAAGTAAGGCCTGCGATGTGAAAGCCTGTGATTGGTCGTCGCTTCTGTCCCCGCCCCTCTGCCCCGCCCAGCAGCTTTCCAATGAGATTTCTGTTTCTTTGACCTCGTTTTTCCCTGTGCCCCTTACCCCACCTTCTTCAGCAACCCAAGGACTGCATGCGGTTGGACGAGACGATGCTGGTGAAGCAGCTCCTGCCAGAGATCTGCCACTTCATCCACACGTACCGCGACGGCAACCCGCACGCGGCCGAGCTGCGCAGCTCTGCCTCGGGGGTCCTCTTCTCCCTCAGCTGCAACAACTTCAATGCCGTCTTTAGCCGCATCGCCACCAGGTAGCGATGTGGGCAGTGCTGGGTTCCTCCTGCAACTCGCTGCTACAAGCCTCCGCGACACCTCCACCTCCGGGACACACTCTGCTCCCTCCGTGGCACATGAAGGGACCAGGGTTCCATGTTTTTTTTTTCTTTTTTTTTAGTTTATTTTAAGTTTTCTGGTGGGGGGGGTTTTGTTTCTGTCTTGAGACATCAATATGCAGATGAGCCTAATTAAAGTGCTTATTTTTTTTAGCATTACGAAATATATCAATATTTCTACGTCAAAATTTGTCTGGCGTGTCCATTCTCTTTGATGTGAGCCCCTGGTGGAGCATCACGGTACTACACCAAAACACGGAGAATGTTGACATGGAGGATTATCTTTCTCCCTCCCAGCCCCCTCCTCTATGTCTCTCCTACCTTTTCTCCTCCCAAGAGACTCGGCCCGCTAGCATCTTTGTTGCTGGCCCTTGTCCCCTTCCACCTGCCCCTCCCTTGCTTCCTGCCCCATAGTGCGGTAGGGCTGATCTGTGAAGCAGCTGGTAGCTTGAGGGGACTTGGTGGGGGAAGGGGGGGGGGGATTGGGCCTGGTTGGGAATTTTGGGTGGCGGGGAGTGGTAGTGTCTGGACCTCCGGATTTCTGCATAAAGACTCACTTTGTGCTTCTCTGTGGGTGTTAAAGCTGTCTGCAGCCATTGTGAGACTAGATCTGACCTAGTGCAAGTGAAGTACAACTTCTCCCTTCCTCCTCCCGGTATGACTTTGGTTAATTTATGGTGTTACCAAAACAAACTTAGCAGCTGTCTTTTAAACCATAACTGTCCACTATGGTGGCAAAAGTTTACATTAGTTCTGGCTTTTACTTACTTATGTATAAGTAAGAGGCATTTTTTATGAACTTCTTAACTTCAAAAGTTTACCCCTGCATCATGTTATTCACGTTCTCGTCATGCTTAATTATTTTCTGTTTTATGCTTTTATTCATTGCAGTAAATGCATTACAAAAAAAACTCCTCTTTAGATACAGCCTGCCTAGTGATGAATTCAAATGTATCCTGTTGTTTTGAGGATATCGTCATTTTGGCAATTGTTTTTTGTGTGCAACTTTTTTCAAAATGACAAATGACACTTCATTTTCTAGGAGCCACTCGTTGACGAATGAAATGTATTATTGTCGAGCGTTCAGTTTTGATTGGCTGTCACAGTCAGCTGACCAGTATGCAGGCTCGAAGGCAGAGGCCATGAAGTGGTGTTTAATATCTTGGCCTGATTCGGGAAGTGCAGATCCATTCAGGAAATGCATTCTCACAGCTCCTGACCAGGAGCGTTGGCTAAACGTTAGGTGCATACCACAGATATAGTAGTGGGTCAGGGGTTGCGCTGAGTGCTGAATGCTAACTTTATGCTATATGTTATTGGGTTGAGGTAGCTGTCTGCTAAATGGTAACCTTGCACTATGTATTATCCTGGATCTGGAAGAGCACAGATGCTAAATGCTAATTGAACACCGTGCGTGATAGCAGGCTAGGCACGATGCTAACCGCGCCAACCATGTGGCATGTATGACAGAGCTATTTTGAGAACTTGGCCTGTGTCTCCCCTCAGGCTGCAGGAGCTCACGGTGTGTTCAGAAGACAACGTGGACGTCCATGACATCGAGCTCATCCAGTACATCAACGTGGACTGCTCCAAGCTCAAAAGACTTCTCCAAGGTAGGGGCTCAGCCAACAGTTGCGTTTCCCAGCCAGGGAAAAATTAGATGTTTCTTTTTGTAACATGAATGTGTTTTTATGTCCCCTCCTCTGCAGAAACGGTGTTCAAATTTAAAACACTGAAGAAACCCGCTCAGCTCAGTGTCATCAACAGTTTGGAGAAGGTCTGTTGTTGTTTTTTTGTTGTACGATCTGAATACTGTCCGCAGCCTTTCCTGCCAGGGATTCTAATGCTGCCCCCTGGTGGCCATTTATAGCTTCTTCCTTGGTTTAGAAATGAGTCTGCAAATGATAAATATTTGAAGCTTGTTCTAATACTCTGAAAAGTAAGGTGCCTAAAAACTCGGTTTATTCTGTTTACTTATTTTAAAGATGATATATCTCGTTATAGTTAGGGGAGTCAAAGACTTGTACTGAACAGTCTGTAATAAATGCTACTTAGTCATTGTTTCTTACCTGTTGGGTAAAAGTTATAAAAGTATCATAGTTCCATGGTGATAGAAAGCAACCTCTCGGTAAATTTCTGTGGTGTTTGATATCGGTTTTGTGAAGTCAAGAGTTAAATTCCACTTAGCTTGTTCATACTGTCAAAGCTGCTCTCGTGACATTTCTGAACTAAACATCAGAACATTTCTTTTTGACAATTATCCACAAAGTGAGCAGTTTTGGTCATTGCAGTGTATCTCTCTGAGCTCTTCTGAGAGCGAGTGTTGCCATCTTCACCACCCTGGGAGCATTTAAAAAAACGCAGATATTTTTGTCTGCTTTTCAGGTGATGACGCAATTTAGTAAGCGTGTTTGAGGCAGACTGCCTCTTCAACACCAGAATCGAGGAACCCTGGCATAACGTTTAACGCGTTGATGATCTTTGTCGTCCAGGCCTTCTGGAACTGGGTGGAGAACTATCCTGATGAGTTCACCATGCTGTACCAGCGCCCCCAGACAGACATGGCAGGTAAAGGAAGATTCCGCATGGTCCGCACCTTCTTTTGTATTGCTTTCCGAATCTACAAACCAACCCTGTCGTGCTTCGGTGTGCATCTGTTAGGTTTCCGGTTCTGCTGTTTCCTATGCCATCTACCAGCTGAAGAGCATAGTAAAGGGTGGTTGTCAGTCCTGTTTTGTTCTCAATAAACCTGGTTCAGGTAAAGCTTTGGTCTGTGTCCTCTTATTCATTATCCCCCATGCCCACTTCTCACCTTCTTCAGACTGTGCGGAGAAGCTCTTCGACCTGGTGGACAGCTTCGCAGAGAGTGCCAAGCGCAAGGCCGCTGTCTGGCCCCTCCAGATCATCCTCCTCATCCTCTGTCCCGAGATCACGCAGAACATCTCCCGCGATGTGGTGGAAGACAGCACGGCCAACAAGGTGAGGCTTCCTTGGGTTTGCTTTGGGTTAATCCAACATCTCTGTCCAGAATAATGTTGGCTATAACAGGAGCGAATGACACTGAAAGGAAGTCAATGGGGAAGTCTTAATCAATGTACGAGATGATCATAAATGCCAGAGCTGGGTTCAGGGCTGTGTTTGTAAGGCCGTGTATAGTGAGCCGCTGTCGTTGCAGAAGCTGTTCTTGGAGAACCTGCGCAAGGCACTGGCGGGTCATGGTGGCAGCAAACAACTGACGGAGAGTGCAGCCATTGCCTGTGTGAAACTCTGCAAGGCCTCAACCTACGTCAACTGGGAGGACCACTCTGTCATCTTCGTCCTGGTACAGTCCATCGTGGTTGACCTCAAGGTGAGGCATCAAGGTCACTGTGGTAAGCCACAAGTCTGCATGGACCCCCCTGCTTGGGTTAATAAACCCTGCACTCCCCCTACCCGGACCAACTAGTTGATTTGGTGTCTCCTATCAGGCCCTACTCTTCAATCCCACAAAGCCTTTCTCGCGTGGAGCAGGCAGCCAGAGTGCCGATGTGGACCTTATGATTGACTGCTTTGTCTCCTGTTTCCGCATCAACCCGCACAACAACCAGCACTTTAAGGTTGGTGTGCTTGCCTGCGTATTTTGCCTTCTAAATTTAGCTGGAAATGCACACCACAAAAACCAAGTCTCGCTGAATGATTAGACCAAATGTGAAAAGTAATAATCCGCAATCAGTCAACCAGTCAACTTAATCTCTTGGATTGCATCTCTTCTTTTGGCAGGTCTGTCTCTCCTCTTCGTCTCCACCCACCTTTCATTTTGTCTTGGTCAACTCCCTGCACAGAATCATCACCAACGTAAGCACCCGCTTCCTTGACCAGGCCATATGGGGGGTGTCTCGGTTAAACTGCAGACTCTTCGCATTTAACAACTTGAAATGAGATCTTGCAGGATTTGAAGCACTATAGGGTTGGGGACCTGGAATTTGCACTATGCTAACTTTCATATTCATCAAGGCCTCATGTCACTTGTTGGTTGTATGCAAGTCTGGCATATTGCCCTGTGTTGAAGAGGAGTGCTGTAGATGTTTATAGGCATGGTGTGTGTGTGTGGGGG